GCTAATTTTTTGTATTTTTAGTAGAGACGGGGTTTCACCATGTTGACCAGGATGGTCTCGATCTCTTGACCTCGTGATCCACCCGCCTCGGCCTCCCAAAGTACTGGGATTACAGGCGTGAGCCACCGCGCCCGGCCATAATAGAAATTTTTAATGATAAAAATATAGATATTGGGCCAGGCACAGTGGTTCATGCCTGTAATCACCTGAGGTCAGGAGTTTGAGACCAGCCTGGCCAACACGGTGAAGCCCCGTCTCTATGCCTCTACTAAAAATACAAAAATTAGCTGGGTATGGTGGCAGGTGCCTAATCCCAGATACTGAAGAGGCTGACGCATGAGAATCACTTGAACCCAGGAGGTAGAGGTTGTAATGAGCCAAGACAACAGAGCGAGACTCCATTTCAAAAAATAAATATATTTTGAACATCAGTGAAAATGTAAAATTTAAAGGAATAGTTACCTCACAGAAGCAATGAAAAGAGGCTAAATCTAAAGTAGCCAGTATTACTCGGGAGGCTGAGGCAGTAGAATGGCTTAAACCTGGGAGGTGGAGGTTGCAGTGAGCTGAGATCACTCCCCTGCACTCCAGCCTGGGCGACAGAGCAAGACTGTGTCTCAAAAAAAAAAAAAAAAGTAACAATTATAAAACTTTTTCTTTTGAGACAGGATCTCATTCCATTAACTCAGGATGGAATGCAGTGCTGCAATCACAGCTCACTGCCGCCTTGACCTCCTGGGCTCAAGTGATCCTCCCACCTCAGCCTCCTAAGTAGCTAGGACCACAGGCACACGCCACCACACCAGCAAATTTTTTGTATTTTTGTAGAGATGACGTTTCACCATGTTGCCCAGGTTGGTCTCAAATTCCAGAGCTCAAACAATCCACTGCCTCAGCCTCCCAAAGTGTTAAGTCACTGTGCCTGGCCAATACCATAAACGACAACAACAACAAAACCACCAAAGCATTTTGCTAGTCAGAGAATATTACCAACCATCTTTATTTATCTATATTTATTTAATTTAGCTGGGGGTCTCACTATGTTGCCCAGGCTGGTCTTCAATGCCTGGACTCATGCAATCTTACTGCTTTGGCTTCCCAAAGTGCCGGGATTACAGGTGTGAGCCACCACGCCTGGCCCAACCGTCTTTAATTTGGCAGTTTAGTCCTTCCAGAAACCCATTTCTTCTACCTTCCATTCTTTTTATTACATAAATAATTGATGATAACGTATAAAGAAAAAAAGGCCGGGTGAGGTAGTTCACACTTGTAATCCCAGCACTTTGAGAGACTGAGGCAGGTGGATCACCTGAGGTTGGGAGTTCGAGACCAGCCTGACAAACATGGAGAAACCCTGTCTCTACTAAAAACACACAATTAGACGGGCGTGGTGGTGCATGCCTGTAATCCCAGCTACTTGGGAGGCAGAGACAGGAGAATCACTTGAATCCGGGAGACGGAGGTTGTGGTGAGCCAAGATCACACCATTGTACTCCAGCCTGGGCAACAAGAGCGAAACTCTGTCTCAAAAACAAAAAACAAAAAAAAAAAAGTAAAGAAAAAAAGTGTGTGTTTCCCAAATTCCAAATTAGTTGTGCACACTTCCCCCATGTAAACATAGACATGTAAGAAATGTATAAATATTTTTTGTAAATGGTTATATAATTTGTATTTTTTGAACCAGTTGTGAATCGTTTCCTTCTTAGCAAATATTCACCCAATTACGACTATTGAATATTATTATTATTGAGACAGATCTTTACCTGTTGCCCAGGTGCAGTGCAGTGGCCATCACAGCTCACTGCAACCTTGAAGTCTTGGACTCAAGTGATTCTCCTGCCTCAGTCTTCCAAGTAGCTGGGACTACAGGCATGTGCTACCATGCACAGCTAATTTTTTAACTTTCTTTTGTAGAGGCAAGGGTCTCACTCTGTTTCTCAGGCTGGCCTGGAACTCCTGGCCTCAAGCAATCCTCCTGCTTCGGCCTCCCGGCTTACAGGCATGAGCCACCATGATAGGTTCCAAATTATAATTTTTAATGGCTACATCTTTTCCTTAATATGAATGCATCATATTTTATTGGACTCCCTACTTTGAAATATGTAGGAATTTTCAGTGTTTACTGTGACAAATAGCACTGTGATAAAAAAAAAATAGAAATGTAGTCAAATTCACGTTTGCTATTGATTTTTTTTTTAATTTTTAGAGACATGGTCTCGCTATGTTGCCCAGGCTGGTCTGGAACTCCTGGCCTCAAGCAATCCTCCTGCCTCAGCCTCCCAAAGTCCTGGGATTACAGGCATGAGCCACTGTGACCAGCAGCTATTGATTTTTTTCCCTTTTGTTTTCTTCTTTCTTCTTCTTCTTCCTCTCCTTTCTCTTCTTTCTCCTTCTTCTTCTTTTTGAGACTGAGTCTTGCTCTATATCGCCCAGGTGGAGTGCAGTGGAGTGATCTCGGCCCACTGCAACTTTAGCCACTGAGGTTCAAGCGATTCTCATGCCTCGGCCTCCTAAGTAGCTGGCATTACAGGTGTGCGCCACCATACCCAGCTAATTTTTTGCATTTTTAGTAGAGACGGGGTTTCACCATGTTGGCCAGGCTGGTCTCGAATGCCTGATCCCAGGTGATCCGCCCGCCTAGGCCTCCCAAAGTGCTGAGATTACGAGCCTGAGTCACTGCGCCGGACAGTTATTTTTTGTAAGAATTAAAAAAATAGGCTGGGCGCGCTGGCTCAAGCCTGTAATCCCAGCACTTTGGGAGGCCGAGGCGGGTGGATCACGAGGTCAAGAGATGGAGACCATCCTGGTCAACATGGTGAAACCCCGTCTCTACTAAAAAAATACAAAAAAATCAGCTGGGCATGGTGGCACGTGCCTGTAATCCCAGCTACTCAGGAGGCTGAGGCAGGAGAATTGCCTGAACCCAGGAGGCAGAGGTTGCGGTGAGCCGAGATCGCGCCATTGCACTCCAGCCTGGGTAACATGAGTGAAACTCGGTCTTAAAAAAAAAAAAAAAAGAATTAAAAAAATAATAATAATGTTGCTTTGAATTTTTTTTTTTGGAGACAGAGTCTTCGCTTTGTTTCTAGGCTGGAGTACAGTGGCGCGATCCTGCCTCACTGCAACTTCTGTTTCCGGGTTTCAAGCAATTCTCCTGCTTCAACCTCCCGAATAGCTGGGAGTACAGGCACGCACCACCACGCCTGGCTAATTTTTTTGTATTTTTCGTAGAGACGAGGGTTCACCACGTTGGCCAGGATGGTCTCAATCTCCTAACCTGATAATAAGCCCGCCTCAGCCTCCCAGTGTTGAGATTACAGGCGTGAGCCACCGCGCCCAGGCTGCTTTGAAATTTTTTATTTATGAGTAGCTCTTTTGGTTAAAACTTGGCTATGTTTTCTCGGGAGTGATCCTGAGTTAGAGAATTTTGGAAAAGTGAGAAAATATAATTAAAAACATTTTCAAATGCTTATTAAATGTAACAAACGAGAAATCACAGGATCCATAAAGAGCGCTAGCCTGAAAACTGTGCGGTTTTTGCTGCAGTAATTCCTGGGCGCCGGCATCGCTCATACTCTACTCTCAGAATTACACCGAGAGGGGTCGCGAACCTCCGCCTGCAGCTCTCGGTGCGATCCGGAGGTACCCAGACGGCGGACTCTCTCCGGCCACAGCCCGGAAGCAGACGGGAATCCTAGTAGCGCCGCACCGGATGTATGTGTGGAAATGACTGCAGTCAGCTCACGACCGATTGGTTCTCCCGAGTGGACCTAAGTCTGTTTTCACCTGCCACTGGCCGCGTGGTTTGTCTATTTGAATAGTCCCCGCCCTCTGGAGAAGCCGGGTCCCGAAGCTTCACTTCTTCTTCATTACTATTGGTCTGTTTTTCAGTCCATCTTCTTCCTATACCTGTGGATTGGTCCTCAGGGCTCGGAACCCTCCCTCCCTCGCTCCCGGCTTAGAGGACAGCGGGGAAGGCGGGTGCTGAGGCAGGGGGCCTGAAGCGGCGGTACTGGTGCTGGCGGCGGCAGCTGAGGTCTTGGCCGAAGCCGCACGGTGAGTCTAAGGCCTGCCACGACCCTTCTAAGGCGGTGTAATGTCCAGACCCACGGCCAGCCTGCTTGTGGGGGGTCCAGGGGAAGCCGCCCGTCTGGGACGTGGTATCCCCACACTGCTGGCCCCAAGACCTGGGCACCGTCTGAGGCCTTGATTCCCACCCCTCGAGGCAACGCCCACCTCCCCGGGACCCCCAAGAGGCCCCCGGACCCTTCGTCCCGCGGTACGTCTCAGGCGCCCGAAGGCCAGCCCATCAGCTCTGGTACTGCCCTTCGGGTCTTTTGCCCGTCACAGCACCCTTTCTTCTGAGCCACCCACAGAAATTGTGGCTCTCTGCCCCAGGGAACACCAGCGTCAGTATCAGCCCCTCGTTCTCCGCCATGGAGACCTCTCAGGGACCCAGTCCCCGTAACTGAGCTCGGTTACATCGTTGGGGCACATCCTCTCTCCCTCTCCGCCACCCCCATCCCTGTTTCCCCCATCCAACTTTAACTCCCTTAAGCCCTATCAACACCCTTAGGATATTTGACTTCAAATATCCTAAGTTTAATTGGAACAGATGGCCTGTGGGCCTTAGACCATATAAAGATACACTGGTTCTTTCCTGAGAATAGAAATCCCTTGCCAGCTTCCTTCCCCCCTTACACACACACACACACACACACACACACACACACACACACAACTGGAGTAGTTTTCTTAGTAAGGATTCTTAAGTTTCCTCTCCCCTAAAGGGTGACATTTTCTTCTGCTGTCTTTTTCTTGGCACTGGAGTATTTGAAAGCTTTTCAAAACCACTTATTCTGTTTTTTCCTCTGTGTCTTACAAATTCGTTCAAAAATAAGAATTTTGAGAAATGGTTTTGTAGTATAAGCCAGACATACTTAGGATAGGTGTATGTTACCTCAGAGCAGTGTAGGCGGAGCCCTGTTAAGGCCACTGTGTTGTAGTTGCCTGATTTTGTATTTCCCCCTGAATTGTAAGCTCATTGAGGGAAGGAACAGTACATGATTGAGGAATGAGGGAATGATCTCAGGGACTAATTGGTTTCTTTTAGCTTACATTTGAAGTGCTAATCTTCTATAGAACTGCATTGTTCAATACAAGAATTATCAGCCACATGTGGCTGTAGAGCACTTGAAATGTGACTCGTCCAGGCCAGGCATGGTGGCTCATACCTGTAATCCCAGCACTTGGGAGGCCAAGGTGGGCGGATCACCTGAGGTGAGGAATTTGAGTCCAGCCTAGCCAACATGGTAAAACCCCATCTCTAATAAAAATACAAAAAAATTAGCGGGGCGTGGTGGTGGGCACCTATAGTCCCAGCTACTCAGGAGGCTGAGGCAGGAGAATCATTTGAACTGGGGAGGTGGAGGTTACAGTGAGCTGAGATCACGCCACTGCACTCCAGCCTGGGTGACAGAGCAAGACTCCTTAAAAAAAAAAAAAAAAAAAAAGTGACTAGTCCAAATTGACATTGTTTAAGAGTAGAGTGCACATGCAGTTTTGAAGACTCACTACAAAAAAAGAATGGACACTATATCAATTTTTAAAAATATTGATAACATGTTGAAATGATATTTTGGATATATTGGTTTAATTAATTTCACCTGTTTCTTTTCACCTTTGAAAATATGGCTACCAGCAGCTTTAATATTACATTTGTGGATCATTTTATTTCCTTTTTCTTTCTTTCATTTTTTTTTTTATTGTTGTTGTTGTTGAGGTGGAGTTTTGCTCTTGTTGCCCAGGCTGGAGTGCAATGGCGTAATCTCAGTGTACTGCAACCTCTGCCTCCCAGGTTCAAGCAGTTCTCCTGCCTCAGCCTCCCAAGTAGCTGGGATTACAGGCACGCACTGCCACACCCAGCTAACTTTGTTTTTTTTTGTTTGTTTGTTTTGTTTTTTTTTTTTTGAGATGGAGTTTCGCTCTTGTTACCCAGGCTGGAGTGCAATGGCGCGATCTCGGCTCATCGCAACCTCCGCCTCCCGGGTTCAGGCAATTCTCCTGCCTCAGCCTCCTGAGTAGCTGGGATTACAGGCACACGCCACCATGCCCAGCTAATTTTTTGTATTTTTAGTAGAGACGGGGTTTCACCACGTTGACCAGGATGGTCTCGATCTCTTGACCTCGTGATCCACCCGCCTCGGCCTCCCACAGTGCTGGGATTACAGGCTTGAGCCACCGCGCCCGGCCAACTTTGTATTTTTAATAGAGATGGGGTTTCGCCATGTTGCCCAGGCTGGTCTTGAACTCCTGACCTCAGGTGATCCACCTGCCTCGGCTTCCCAAAGTAGGGGGATAACAGGCATGAGCCACTGTGCCTGGCCTGTATTTCCATTAGACAATGCCGCTGTAGAATAATAATCTCCCTTTTTAGACTGAACTTGAGGAAAGGGGCAGTCTTAGTCATTTTTAATTCTTTTCCTACCTCCCCACATTTGTTACTTGGCACTGTGTCATGTACATAGTAGTAGTAGTAATAATAATAGTTTACAATTAATAAGAACTCAGTATATGCCCTGCACTGTCTTAAACACTTTTTAACATGTATTAACTGATTTAGCCTTCACATCCACCCATGAACTAGGTACTATTGTCTTCCTATTGTAGTTGAAGGAACTGAGACATTTTGAGTGTCTTTCTCAAGGTATGTGACTTTATTTTTGGTTTTTTTGTTTGTTTGTTTTTGTTTTGAGACAGTGCACTGGCGGGATCTTGGCTGACTGCAACCTCTGCCTCCCAGGTTCAGGTGATTCTCCTGCCTCAGCCTCCTGTGTAGCTAGGATTACAGGTGCACGCCATCATACCCAGCTAATTTTTGTATTTTTAGTGGAGATGAGGTTTCACCATGTTGGCCAGGCTGGTCTCGAACTCCTGACCTCAGGTAATCCTCCCAACTCAGCTTCCCACAGTGCTCAAGGTATATAACGAAAGGATTCAAATCCAGGTAGGCTAGCTCCATAGCCCACAATTTGATCCTCCCTACTGCACTGCCTCTTTTATACATCAGTCATTGTTGAATGAATCTAGGCTTTCTAAATCTTCCTCCAAAAGATCTCTCAATGTTTCTAGAATCCCTACCTGACAAGGACTAGGGGGAGATCTGTGTTGAGTTACCAGGGCCATACATAAATTTACTGCCATACTTTCTTAACCAGAATATTAAAGGAAACTTCTCTCTAAGGAACCTCAGGGCAAGATGCTTGGAACTGGACCTGCCGCCGCCACCACCACTGCCACCACATCTAGCAATGTGAGTGTTCTGCAGCAGTTTGCCAGTGGCCTGAAGAGCCGGAATGAGGAGACCAGGGCCAAAGCTGCCAAGGAGCTCCAGCACTATGTCACCATGGAGCTCCGAGAGGTGGGCTTCTGAGATTTGGGGCCAGCCATTGTGGGATGTTTGCGCTAAATGTACCATCACTGGTTTAGATTTTTTTGGACAGCTAAGTGAGGATTTGGAAAATAGAGATTATTTTAGAAAGGTTCCCAACCTCTTACATTCATAAAACATGCAGGTTCATTTGCAGCACTTGCACATTTCTGTGGCATTTTTCTTGTTTGTGGTCACATTTGAGGGGCCAGAATAGACTTAGCTGTTTCTTTTAACTTTTTCTTTTTTCCTAAGCACATATCACACCGTCAGTGCTTTCTGTCTGATAACAGTTATTGGGATGGGTTTGGAGAGTTGAGAGCTAGGAGATTTCTTCTTTTTTCTTTTAGACAGAGTTTTACTCTTGTTACCCAGGCTGGAGTGCAATGACGTGATGTCAGCTCACCGCAACCCCTGCCTCCCAGGTTCAAGCAATTCTTCTGCCTCAGCCTCCTGAGTAGCTGGGGTTACAGGCACGTGCCACTATGCCCGGCTAATTTTTGTATTTTTAGTAGAAACGGGGTTTTTCCATGTTGGTCAGGCTGGTCTCGAACCCCTGACCTCAAGTGATCCACCCTCCTCAGCCTCCCAAAGTGCTGGGATTACAGGCATGAGCCACCATGCCTGGTCCCCGGGGCTTTCTATCTAAATAGAGACCAGACTTGAAGTCAGAAACAGTATCTTGTTTTTATCCTTGTATCCCTGGTACTAGAAAGAACCTAGGACAGGACATTTTCTGCCTCAGAGTAGATACCCAATAAGTATTTGTTAAATAATCAGATGATTGCAAGTTCAGGTGCTCTACAGTGTATTCCTATAGAAATGGCAGTAGCTTGTCTTCTTTGGTTTGAACTATACTACCTGCCTCTCAGGATCTAACCTGTAGATGCCAGCCCGCTCCCACCACCACAGTCAGAGAATTATTAGAAATTGTTCTGATTACATCTTCTTTTGCAGATGAGTCAAGAGGAGTCTACTCGCTTCTATGACCAGCTGAACCATCACATTTATGAATTGGTTTCCAGCTCAGATGCCAATGAGAGGAAAGGTGGCATCTTGGCCATAGGTAAGGACAGAGTCTCTGGTCACAAAAAACAACACACTCACCTTTGTGTCCACTGCACCCTGTGTCTGCATTTATTGGATGCTAGTTCATATTTGCTTAATGAAATTTAAGAAGCCCGTGGCTTTTAATTGTAGCAGCAGTCCTGGGCTGCAGGCAAACGTATTTTTAGACGTGGAAGTGGAGCCTCAGAACCACTGAGTGACTTTTCAGACAGTTTACCAGAGCTGAGACTAGAAGCCAGCTTTCTTTTTGTTTTTTTTCCCCTCGCTCTGTTGCCCAGGCTGGAGTGCAGTGGCGTGATCTCGGCTCACTGCAACCTCTGCCTCCTGGGTTCAAGTGATTCTCCTGCCTCAGCTTCCTGAGTAGCTGGGACTATAGGCATGTGCCACTGTGCCTGGAGAGCCCAGCTTTCTTTCCACTCCTTCATGTTGCCTTTTACAGGTTCTGGTTCCTCAATAGAGCAGGGTTTCTGATAGTGGGGCTCACAGATGGAAAAGTGGAATCAGTATAGTTAATAAAAGGCAGGTCATCTTTTTTTTTTTTTTTTTGAGATGGAGTCTCACTCTGTCTGAAGTGCAGTAGTGCAATCTTGGCTCACTGCGACTTCCGCCTCCTGGTTTCAAATGATTCTCGTGCCTCAGCCTCTTGAGTAGCTGGGATTACAGGCCTCTGCCACCATGACCGGCTAATGTTTGTATTTTTAGTAGAGATGGGGTTTCACCATGTTGGTCAGGCTGGTCCTGAACTCCTGACCTCACGTGATCCACCCGCCTCGGCCTCCCAAAGTGCCGGGATTACAGGCGTGAGTCACTGCACCCAGCCAGGCAGCTTATTTTTAACTTCTAAGGACTGGTCATCAGTCCTGTGAATTATTATTCAGTCCCAGTTGTTTTCTCTTTTTTGGGGGGGAGGGGGGTGGCAGTTATCTACACTAGCCTGAGATTATTTTGCTTTATGTAAGTATTTCTGGCACAAGTATTAAATATCTGGATTAAAATGAAAATTGTCTGTGTTCTTGCCATCTAGAAATGTACTCAAAGTAGAATGGAGGGATCACTTGCCAGCTTTTAGTTTAGGCTGTATGCTTTTTGGCCAGCATAGGCCCTGTCATCACCTTTTGCCTTCCTCTCTTTTCTAGCCAGCCTCATAGGAGTGGAAGGTGGGAATGCCACCCGAATTGGCAGATTTGCCAACTATCTTCGGAACCTCCTCCCCTCCAATGACCCAGTTGTCATGGAAATGGCATCCAAGGCCATTGGCCGCCTTGCCATGGCAGGGGACACTTTCACTGCCGAGTATGTGGAATTTGAGGTGAAGCGAGCCCTGGAATGGCTGGGTGCTGACCGCAATGAGGGCCGGAGACATGCAGCTGTGAGTGCCTGCCGGGAGGAGCACAGCCAGGCCTGGGGAATGGTGGTGTCATGGTGGGGTCCTTTGCTTCCTTCTGAGGCTTATCCCTGAAAAAGGCTTGTCAGAAGGCTAGGATTCCAGGCTGTGAGATGGGGTAGAGTCTGTAAGAGAGAATTGCTGGGCGTGGTGGCTTACGCCTATAATCCTAGCACTTTGGGAGGCGGAGGCAGGCGGATCAACTTGAGGCCAGAGGTTTGAGATGAGTCTGGCCAGCATGGTGAAACCCCGTCTTTATTTAAAAAAAAAAAAAAAAAAGAGAGAGAGAGAATCTAGTAGTGGTGTGGTGGGAATCAGAAGCATCAGCTGCATACTTTCCAGTCTGCTCCCCGTTAGAGGAGGCAGTACTGTGAGGAGGGAGCATGGTACCAGGAGAGGGACACACACTTGGACCCTGGCTCAAGTCTTGGCTCTCCAGCTTCCTAACTCTGTAACCTAGGGCAGGTTTTGACCTTCAGTTTCTTCCTCTGTCAAATAAAAATAATAAGATTAAACATTAAACAGGATTATCCATTCAATAAATAATTATTACATACCTGCTGTATTCCAGGTAGTGTTCTAGGCTATTGGTATAGTGTTATAGAAAGCATAAAACACATCTGCGCTTCCAGAGCTTATGTTCAAACGTTACTAGCAGTCTTTGTAAGCAACCTAGGATAGTGAACACTGAGATGTTTCCTCAGTTTTGCTTTCCTTCCTCTGTCCCCAGAATTTCCTAGCTAGAGACTGAGCAAGCCTTTTCTGTTCCTAGTGTATGGCTCTAAGATGATAAGAGACTGCACTCCTGAGAGAACAAAACTCTGGTACCGATGAGAGTTCTCAGTTTGCCTTTTTCTCCAGGTCCTGGTTCTCCGTGAGCTGGCCATCAGCGTCCCTACCTTCTTCTTCCAGCAAGTGCAGCCCTTCTTTGACAACATTTTTGTGGCCGTGTGGGACCCCAAACAGGCCATCCGTGAGGGAGCTGTAGCCGCCCTTCGTGCCTGTCTGATTCTCACCACCCAGCGTGAGCCGAAGGAGATGCAGAAGCCTCAGTGGTACCGGGTGAGGAGATTGCCCCATTCCAGCCTCCAGCAAAGCACATCTATGTAGAGAATCACCTGCCCTAAAGGGCAGCCGTAGGCTTTGCCAGTCTTATGTTGGACATAGAGCTCTGAACATGGGTTGGAAGACCTGGGTTCCAGTCTTGGATTTGCTGCATGATCTTGGAGCAAGAATCACTTCTGTTTTGGTCTCAAATGAATTTTTTTTTTTTTTGCTCTGTTGCCCAGGCTGGAGTGTAGTGGTGCAATCTTGGCTCACTACAACCTCCGCCTCTTGAGTTCAACCTCCGCCACCTCAGCCTCTTGAACAGCTAGGACTATAGGCATGCACCACCACGCCCAGATAATTTTTGTATTTTTGATACAGACAGGGTTTCACCATGTTGGCCAGGCTTGTCTCGAATTCCTGACCTAAGGTGATCCACTTGCCTTGGCCTCCCAAAGTGCTGGAATTACAGGCATGAGCCACTGCACCTGGCCTCAAATGAACTTTTTTATGCTCAGTATGAATCAATAGTTACTTTATTGCATTTCATTAAAGCAAACATCTATTGATAGCCACCCTATTATTTTATATATGAGTAAGAATGCAAATATGCCAGTTAAACTGTAACTTGGTACCTTCTTACCAACAATTATAAGGACATCTCAACTGGGTGCTGTGGCTCACGCTTGTAATTCTAGCACTTTGGGAGGCCAAGGCAGGAGGATTGCTTGAGCTCAGGAGTTTGAGACCAGCCTGAGCAACATATGGGACCCCATCTCTACAAAAAAAAATAAAAATATTAGGTGGGCATGGTATTGCGCACTGTGGTCCCAGCTATTTGGGAAGCTGAGGCGGGAGAATTGCTTGAGCCCAAGAGGTCAAGGCTGCAGTAGTCATGATCATGCCACTGCACTCCAGCCTTGGCAACAGAGTGAGACTCTGTCTCAAAAAAATTTTAAAAAAGACATTTCTTTTCAGAGATGTTAAAATATGGACAAATTGGTGTCTCAAAATCAGTCAAATACAAATGATACTAATTTAGAAAGTGCCAGTTCTCTCTGCTCTAGTATCATGAAGCCTGTGCTGATTGCTTCTGCAGAGGGAACTCATCAGTGAGTCTTATATTAGAAAAAGAGCTCTGAACATGGGTTGGGAGGCCTGGGTTCCAGTCCTGAGTTTGCTGTGTGATCTTGGACAAGTCACTGAAATTCTTTTTTTTTTTTTTTTTT